TCGAACCCACGACCTCCTGCAGACCAGGCGAGATTGTTAACATCTCACCACGGGGAGAGAGACACACGCAGACTCCAAATAATCAGCAGGCGTTAGGGTCGGGATGGAACCCACGACCTCCTGTAGACCAGGCGAGGTAGTTAGCATCTCCTAACCACCGTGATGATGATGCCGATGAGAGAGAGAGACGCAGACTCCAAATAATCAGCAGGCGTTAGGGTCGGGATGGAACCCACGACCTCCTGTAGACCAGGCGAGGTAGTTTAACATCTCCTAGCCACCGTTATGATGATGAGAGAGACACGCAGACTCCAAATATACACCAGCAGGCATCGTCAGGGTCGGGATCGAACCCACGACCTCCTGTAGACCAGGCGAGGTAGTTAACATCTCCTAGCCACCGTGACGATGATGAGAGAGAGAGAGACGCAAACTCAAAATATACAGCAGCAGGCATCGTCAGGGTCGGGATCGAATCCACGACCTCCTGTATACCAGGCGAGGTAGTTAACATCTCCTAGCCACCGTGATGATGATCATGATGAGAGAGACCGCAGACTCCAAATATACAGCAGCAGGTATCGTCAGGGTCGGGGTCGAACCCCGACCTCCTGTAGACCAGGCGAGGTAGTTAACATCTCCTAGCCACCGTGATGATGATGAGAGAGAGAGAGACGCACACTCCAAATACACAGCAGCAGGCATCATCAGGGTCGGGATCGAACCCACGACCTGCTGTAGAACAGGCGAGGTAGTTAGCATCCCATAGCCACCGTGATGATGATGAGAGAGAGAGACGCAAACTCCAAATATACAGCAGCAGGCATCGTCAGGGTCGGGATCGAACCCACGACCTCATGTAGACCAGACGAGGTAGTTAACATCTCTAACCACCGTGATGATGATGCCGATGAGAGAGAGAGAGAGAGACGCAGACTCCAAATATACAGCAGCAGGCATCGCCAGGGTCGGGATCGAACCCACGACCTCCTGTACACCAGGCGAGGTAGTTAACATCTCTTAACCACCGTGATGATGATGATGATGATTAATGCCGATGAGAGAGAGAGACGCAGACTCCAAATATACAGCAGCAGGCATCGTCAGGGTCGGGATCGAAACCACGACCTCCTGCATACCAGGCGAGGTAGTTAACATCTCCTAGCCACCGTGATGATGATGATGAGAGGAAAGACGCAGACTCCAAATATACAGCAGCAGGCATCGTCAGGGTCGGCATCGAAACCACGACCTCCTGCATACCAGGCGAGGTAGTTAACATCTCCTAGCCACCGGTGATGATGATGATGAGAGGGAAAGACGCAGACTCCAAATATACAGCAGCAGGCATCGTCAGGATCGGGATCGAAACCACGACCTCCTGCATACCAGGCGAGGTAGTTAACATCTCCTAGCCACCGTGATGATGATGATGAGAGGGAAAGACGCAGACTCCAAATATACAGCAGCAGGCATCGTCAGGGTCGGGATCGAATCCACGACCTCCTGTATACCAGGCGAGGTAGTTAACATCTCCTAGCCACCGTGATGATGATCATGATGAGAGAGACGCAGACTCCAAATATACAGCAGCAGGCATCGTCAGGGTCGGGATCGAACCCACGACCTCATGTAGACCAGACGAGGTAGTTAACATCTCATAACCACCGTGATGATGATGCCGATGAGAGAGAGAGAGAAACGCAGACTCCAAATATACAGCAGCAGGCATCGCCAGGGTCGGGATCGAACCCACGCCCTCCTGTACACCAGGCGAGGTGGTTAACATCTCTTAACCACCGTGATGATGATGATGATGATGCCGATGAGAGAGAGAGAGAGACGCAGACTCCAAATATACAGCAGCAGGCATCGTCAGGGTCGGGTTCGAAACCACGACCTCCTGCATACCAGGCGAGGTAGTTAACATCTCCTAGCCACCGTGATGATGATGATGAGAGGGAAAGACGCAGACTCCAAATATACAGCAGCAGGCATCGTCAGGGTCGGGATCGAAACCACGACCTCCTGCATACCAGGCGAGGTAGTTAACATCTCCTAGCCACCGTGATGATGATGATGAGAGGGAAAGACGCAGACTCCAAATATACAGCAGCAGGCATCGTCAGGGTCGGGATCGAACCCACTACCTCCTGTAGACCAGGCGAGGTAGTTAACATCTCTCTACCGTGGTGATGATGATGAGAGAGAGAGAGACGCAGACTCCAAATTTACAGCAGCAGGCATCGTCAGGGTCGGGATCGAACCCACGACCTCCTGTAGAACAGGCGAGATTGTTAACATCTCACCACGGGGAGAGAGACACACGCAGACTCCAAATAATCAGCAGGCGTTAGGGTCGGGATGGAACCCACGACCTCCTGTATACCAGGCGAGGTAGTTACCATCTCCTAGCCATCGTGATGAATCTCGCACTCACCACTTGTGTGAGTTTGTCTTTCTGGGGGTGGATGCGAGACGCGGTCAGATATGAGTTCAGAAGTTAAATAATCGAAATCACATATTAAGCATGGGGCACGTGTGTTACAACTTGACTTTGTTTCATCAATCCCTATGTATTGATGATTAACATTGCACATTGTTGCAACCATTGATAACCCAATGCTAAAAAGTTAAGTTGAAGAACCACTGCTTTAATCTCCCTCTCATAACCGCTATCATTAACCCACATTCATTCAATACATTCATCATCATTTGCTGTCAGAATAATAATAACAATGATTAATCTCATCATACGGCTATCACTCATTAACCCCATTCATCGAATCCACTCATCATAATTTTACGTAAAATAATACGAATTATTATTAAATGCCTATCACTCATTAACCCCATTCATCCAATCCATTCATCATCATCATCACCACAGATTTCCCTCCATCGTTTACCGCCATGTACATTATTCACCCCATCTTTCCACCATTACATTCAAACGCCGTCGTTGTTGTTGTTGTGCCGTTCTTAATTCTCCGTAAAGCACCTCGGTTCAAGGCGCTATAAAATACATTCCTTTAAGACGAGATGAATGAAATTGGTCCACACTTCACACTGCCCCCTTACCCACTCACCACCTCCCATCCCCTCCGACGTCTCAGCCATGGAGTGGAAAACAACATCATCATCATCATCATCACCGTCTTCGTCACCACCATCACCACCACCGCCATCAAACGCCACCCACACCCTCGACTCCTCCTCCTCGGACCTCATCCTCATGTCCACGCTCTTCCGAGACCCCCCCGCCGCTCGCTACTCGGCCTTCTCTGCCCTCCTCCTCATCTACACATTCACGGTGGCTGCCAACGCGACGCTCGGCCTCATCATCTGCCTCGAGTCCAAACTCCACCGGCCCATGTACCTGCTCATGGCGCTGCTCACGCTCACTGATGTCGCCGTCGTCACGAACGCTCTGCCGAGGATCATGGCCAACCTCGTGGCGCGCAATCGCATCTCGCTGCTCGAGTGCGTCGCACAAATGTTCGTCTACCACGTCGCCATCCGCCTGCAGGCGTTCATCCTCGTCGCGATGTCGCTTGATCGCTACGCGGCCGTCGTTCACCCGCTGCGCTACGGAGCCCTCGCGTCGAACGCGCGCGTCCTCCGCTCCATCCCGGTTCTCATCGCCGCCGCCGTGTTGCCCGTGCTCGCCTACGCCAACGTGGCAAGCCTCGACTACTGCCGACCGATGGTGCTGCTCGCCCCGTGCTGCCAGGTCACGTTCCTGAGCTCGCTCGCGTGCACCGAGACGCGCTCCTACACCGCCCTCTACTACACGAACCTCACGACGGGACTCGCGCTGCCCCTCGTAGTCATCCTCGCATCGTACGCGCTCATCTTCCGCGAGCTGCACCGCGGAGGAAGAGGAGGAGGAAGAGGAGGGAGAAGAGGTGGAGGTGTCGGCAAGGCAGCGGTCCACTCGTGCGTGACGCACTTCGCCGTCATCGCCGTCTCGTTCGGCTCCGTCTTCTTCACTTTCTTCAGCAGTCTCCAGCTGGCGATGGGTCTACCCGGCGACCTCGTGGTCGTGTTCCAGACGCTGCAGTACTTCGCCCCGCCCGCCCTCAATCCGCTCATCTACGGCCTGCGCACCGCCGACATCCGTCGGAGTCTCGCCAAGGCGTTCGGGAGGCGGCGCGTGGCGCCTCGGGCGAGGGTGGTCGCGTGAGTGGCGGTGGCGGGGTGGGTTTGTGGGGGGGTGGTACGGGGACCCTGGATTACGCATGGTGCGAAAAGAATATTGGACGCACGCACATGCGCACGTGCGTTCACACGAAAGTTGAGAAAGGGGTTTTATTCATACTCTTTGTTTTTTTCGGTGAAGTCACGTAAGGTTTTAAAAATGGAACAGAGTATAATGCACCATTGGAACCTCATTTGCCAGTAAAAAATATGATAATTGTTTTTTTACCCTTCTATCTGGCAACAAAAGGACAGTGCTTATATGATCAGAGTTATGTTTTTTGTTTGCATTACGACTGCAGGTATTGTGGTCTATGCAAACATGACTCCTTGTAAAAAAGGTGGCAGTTTTGTTGCCAGATAGAAGGGTAAAGAAACTATTATAAAAGAATAATACATGGCGGCGTTTTGATCGCAATACAAGCGGTCGTCCTCGGGCGGGAAAAAATAATCCAGTAGTCGAACTGCTGAAGCAGCGTTCCAATAATCCAGGAGGGAACTGTTGAACCGTTCCAATAATCCAGTACTGGAACTGCTGAATCAGCGTTCCAATAATCCAGCAGTTGGAACTGCTGAATCAGCGTTCCAATAATCCAGTAGTCGAACTGCGGAATCAGCGTTCCAATAATCCAGCAGTTGAACTGCTGAAGCAGCGTTCCAATAATCCAGCGGTTGGAACTTCTGAATCAGCGTTCCAATAATCCAGCAGTAGGAACTTGCTGTACCAGCAGTAGAACTGCTGGATTATTGTTTCCGTCTGAGGACGACCGCTTGTGTTGCGATCGAAACGTCGTGATTCTTTTTGTTTTCTTGTTTGATTTTATCTACCCACGTGACTTTACCGAAAAAACCAAAGAGTATGGATTCCTGCAGTCACGAAAGCTTCAATTTCAAGATTAGCCCTTGTCCTGTGGAGCTTCAAGGAGGCTCTGCGTCGCGCGAGTTGATTGATAAGCGCGTAAGGCGACTCATCAATGAACTTAGATGCGGTGGGGGTAGCCGCGGATTTATTCTTGGGTGCGCAATTGGCAGTGGCAGTCGATCTCGAAGGTAAATTCTGCTCGAAATGGGCATGCCATCGAAGGGCATGCGGGATGGACAGGGGAGCCGGGGGCCAGGGTTTGCCGGGGGACGTAGGTAATTTCGGGGCAACGTGGCTTTCGGATGAGTCGCGGTTTATTTTATTATTATATTTTTTATTATTACTTTACACGTTTTTTACTAACTCACTCTGTCTGTTGTATTCTCAAATCTTGTAACTAAATTTTTACCCACTTCCCAATGTGGTATCGACTGTAGGAGGGCGCTGAGATGGTAGTTTTTTTCTTTCTCTCCACCTGATGAAGACCGCTTGTGTCGCGATCGAAACGTCGTGGTTTTTTTTGCTTTTTATTTTTGTTCAATTTATAAATTTTTGTCATGTTTTATTTTATTTTTCTATTTCTTTTTTTTTGTGGCTTTTCGCTTTTATCATTTTCAATGTATTTTTAAAAAATTGTTTTATTTTATTTGCATCTACGTGACTTTACCGAAAGAACCAAGAATATAGTTGCAAGGGACTTGAGAACGCGGTTGACGTGGCCGTCGGAGGAGAGGGAGTGACGTCAAGAAATCCGAAAGTCTATCCTACAAAGTAAAGTCCCCATCACAAGGGAGAAAAACACGAGCACAGAGACACATTTTAGATTTGAAGCTTTCGTGACTGCAAGGAATCATATTCTTAGGTTTTTTTCGGTAAAGTCACGTAGGTAAAAAAATAAAATTAATAAAAGTAAAATAAAATAAAAATCACGACGTTTCGGAGGCAACACAAGCTTCCGTCTTCAGGTGGAACCGTCACAGCCACGACAGCTGTATCACGTAAATGAGAGATTACAAGAGCTACTACTCCGTATATATAATGGTTGAAGAGGGGAAGGGCCAAGTGCGGCACACTTTTTTATTAAGAAAAAACCTAAGAATAAGAGACACATTTCTTTTCTTCGCCCATATTTCAACGTCTGTTCGCCGTACGGACGTGAAAACTCAATTGCCCTGTACAAGAATACGGGGTAAACAGTATGGGTTGACAGGTTTCCAGTTTGCACGTAACCAGCTTGCACGCATGGGTTGACAGCTACTGTGTTGGTGGGTGGTGGTGTGAGGAGCGGTGGTGCAGCGGTTAGCGCTACGCTGCGCTACGAACCCGGCGAATCCGAGTTCGATTCCCGCTCACGGCCACCAACACCAGCAGTGACGATTATCTGAACCGGTTCTTGGCCTCCCCTAGGTTGACTCGGCCTCAAATGAGAACATGGTGAGAAATGTTTGCTTAGGCTGGCGTTAAAACGGATGTACGCCTTGTGTACATGGGAACTCAATTCACCTGTACGAGAATACGGGGTAAACCGTATGGGTTGACAGGTACAATCTTGATTTTAAGCTTTCGTGACTGCAGGAATCCATACTCTTTGGTTCTTTCGGTAAAGTCACGTAGTCAGAAATAAAATAGAATAAAGAAAATCACGACGTTTCGATTTCAACACAAGCAATTTTCATCAAGTGGAAACAACCACAGCAATAATTTTTATTTTCTATTTTTTTATTTTTTATTTCTATGGTTGTTCCCACCTGGTGAAGATTGGTTGTGTTGCAATCGAAACGTTGTGATTTGTTTTATTTAATTAAATTTTTGACAGGTATGCTTCAACGTTGGAGTCTATGGGAGACTTTAACAGTGGTGACTATGGGAGACTTTAACATTGGAGTCTATGGGAGACTTTAACATTGGAGTCTATGGGAGACTTTAACATTGGAGTCTATGGGAGACTTTAACATTGGAGTCTATGGGAGACTTTACCATTGGAGTCTATGGGAGACTTTAACATTGGAGTCTATGAGAGACTTTAACAATGGCGTCCATGGGAGACTTTAACATTGGAGTCTATGGGATACTTTAACGTTGGAGTCTATGGGAGACTTTAACATTGGAGTATATGGGAGACTTTAACATTGGAGTCTATGGGAGACTTTAACATTGGAGTCAATGGGAGACTTTAACATTGGAGTCCATGGGAGACTTTAACATTGTAGTCTATGGGAGACTTTAACATTGGAGTCAATGGGAGACTTTAACATTGTAGTCTATGGGAGACTTTACCGTTGGAGTCCATGGGAGACTTTAATGTTGGAGTCTATGGGAGACTTTAACATTGGAGTTCATGGGAGACTTTAACATTGTAGTCTATGGGAGACTTTAACATTGGAGTCAATGGGAGACTTTAACATTGTAGTCTATGGGAGACTTTAACATTGGAGTCAATGGGATACTTTAACATTGGAGTCCATGGGAGACTTTAACATTGTAGTCTATGGGAGACTTTAACATTGGAGTCAATGGGATACTTTAACATTGGAGTCAATGGGAGACTTTAACATTGGAGTCTATGGGAGACTTTAACATTGGAGTCTATGGGAGACTTTAACATTGGAGTCTATGAGAGACTTTAACAATGGCGTCCATGGGAGACTTTAACATTGGAGTCTATGGGAGACTTTAACATTGGAGTCTATGGGAGACTTTAACATTGGAGTCTATGGGGGACTTTACCATTGGAGTCTATGGGAGACTTTAACATTGGGGTCTATGAGAGACTTTAACAATGGCGTCCATGGGAGACTTTAACATTGGAGTCTATGGGATACTTTAACGTTGGAGTCTATGGGAGACTTTAACATTGGAGTCTATGGGAGACTTTAACATTGGAGTCTATGGGAGACTTTAACATTGGAGTCAATGGGAGACTTTAACATTGGAGTCCATGGGAGACTTTAACATTGTAGTCTATGGGAGACTTTAACATTGGAGTCAATGGGAGACTTTAACATTGTAGTCTATGGGAGACTTTACCGTTGGAGTCCATGGGAGACTTTAATGTTGGAGTCTATGGGAGACTTTAACATTGGAGTTCATGGGAGACTTTACCATTGTAGTCTATGGGAGACTTTAACATTGGAGTCAATGGGAGACTTTAACATTGTAGTCTATGGGAGACTTTAACATTGGAGTCAATGGGATACTTTAACATTGGAGTCCATGGGAGACTTTAACATTGTAGTCTATGGGAGACTTTAACATTGGAGTCAATGGGATACTTTAACATTGGAGTCAATGGGAGACTTTAACATTGGAGTCTATGGGAGACTTAAACATTGGAGTCTATGGGAGACTTTAACATTGGAGTCTATGAGAGACTTTAACAATGGCGTCCATGGGAGACTTTAACATTGGAGTCTATGGGATACTTTAACATTGGAGTCAATGGGAGACTTTAACATTGGAGTCTATGGGAGACTTTAACATTGGAGTCTATGGGAGACTTTAACATTGGAGTCTATGGGAGACTTTACCATTGGAGTCTATGGGAGACTTTAACATTGGAGTCTATGAGAGACGTTAACAATGGCGTCCATGGGAGACTTTAACATTGGAGTCTATGGGATACTTTAACGTTGGAGTCTATGGGAGACTTTAACATTGGAGTCTATGGGAGACTTTAACATTGGAGTCTCTGGGAGACTTTAACATTGGAGTCTATGGGAGACTTTAACATTGGAGTCAATGGGAGACTTTAACATTGGAGTCCATGGGAGACTTTAACATTGTAGTCTATGGGAGACTTTAACATTGGAGTCAATGGGAGACTTTAACATTGTAGTCTATGGGAGACTTTAACATTGGAGTATATGGGAGACTTTAACATTGGAGTCAATGGGAGACTTTAACATTGGAGTCTATGGGAGACTTTAACATTGGAGTCTATGGGAGACTTTAACATTGGAGTCTATGGGAGACTTTAACATTGGAGTCTATGGGAGACTTTAACATTGGAGTTCATGAGAGACTTTAACATTGGAGTCTATGGGAGACTTTAACATTGGAGTCCATGGGAGACTTTAACATTGGAGTCTCTGGGAGACTTTAACATTGGAGTCTATGGGTAGAGA